AAGTACTCTCACCATCCCAAGTAAATATGAACAAACAATAGTTCATGATCCTTCAATGATTTAACCCCTTATACCCATCTTACATAAGGCATAAGGTCAAGACACCCAAACTTATGGAATGAACCTTACCTTAGCCAGACCTAAAGACAGGTCACCCAAACTTATGGAATGAGTCCAACTTAGCCAAAGTATGCACAAACACAAGGTACAACAACTTTTCTCTTCTTTGGGCATATGACTAGGCCATTCTAGTCGCCCTGAACTGTTTAAATAGCCAGGTTGTATCTCTGAACTTAATCTTCAAGGTGGGCGTAGGACTGAGCCATTCGTCTTAAAAACAATGCTTAGTCGGCCCAAGTTACCTTCAGTTATACTCTTAATTATACTCTCTTCAGATTGTGATAGGCTATAGTCAGACCACCTAAACTTATTGAACAACCTGATTAGCTCGTTCATAAATAGAATAGTAATAAAATATAGCCAAATTATGACCTTGGGTTCTAACATATGCGAGGCTTTGAGTCAGACCACCTGAACTTACAGAACAGTCTGACTCTCTGACTGGTTCGTTCCTCTCTGATCCATTTTGTGCGTGACATTGGGCTAGATCACCTGAACTTACAGAACAATCTGCCCTCTGTCAGGTTCATTCTCTCAAAATAAAGGCAGGAAGAGTCTAAGCCACCTAAACTTATAGAACGACTTAGACCTCCTCGTTCAGAACCAGATAAACAGGAGAAAACCAAATATACACAAGGCGATCAAGGCACCTGAACTTACAGAATGCACTTGGTCCCTGAAAAGTCAACCACAGTCAGCCCTCACAAGTCAGAGCAGTCAGGCCACCTAAACTTATAGAACAGCCTGACCCTCCTTGCAAAGCCACAACACTGGGTCTCCCCAAACTTATGGGGACTTCCCAGCCTCCAGAGCAATCAAACCCCCTAAACTTATAGAAGGGTCTGACGCTCCATACAAGCCAAAATAAACAAAGCACTGGGTCTCCTCAAGCTTATGAGGACCTCCCAGCCTTAGTGACCCAGTCAACCATTATGCAAATCAGTCCGCCATCCTGCCTTCCGAGATGCTGTTTCTTTTAACAGTCTGATCTCATTCAATCAACAAAGTTGAAACTGAACTTGAGCAGACATTCTTTTACTTAGTCTGATTCAGTGTCCTGAAAGTCAAACAAAAGTCAAAGTAAGGTTGCACACCATATACTCAGTCAGAGATGCAATAGGAAATACATGTAGAGGCTATAACTGGGTTTATAGAGAGAAAGCAATAATTACCTTACAATTCCCTGCCTCCAAAACTTCTCCTGAGTTCCAGCAGGGCTCCCGCAATCGGTGGGCTGACTCCCCACAGAGTCTTGCTGCAGACCTACGGGTTGGAATCCCACCTGTCGCCTTCCTCTCAGAACCAATGGACGAGACTTAGAGTAAGACGGGCAGAAGGAGAAAGATTTTAGACTCTCAGATCCAAGGAGGGTGCTCTCAGACTCGCAAGAGAGGGCCTTGATATCTTCAGCCGCCTGAGGGCCCTGCAATGGTGGCCAAAACATGCAACAACTTAGTCAACTCTAAATAGAACTGTTGAAGACAACCCTTTCCGACGATCCTCCAAGTCGCCGCGACGGCCCCCTTTCACAGAGCTTCAAGCTAGTCGCTCTCTCCTTCTGCAGTGCCACCAATTCTGATCAATCCGCGGCCACGTACCCTTCGATTGTTGTGTCCGGCAGTTTGCCCAGTCACTATCCAGCGAAAGCCCTGCAACGGTCACTCGTCCGCAAGCTAGCTGATGCAAGGGGAGGTACGACCAGTAACAAACTACAACAGTAGTAACCAATCAATTAATGCACCGCATAAACACAGCGTGTTGGTGCTGTAAGTGATGATGGTCCCACGCTTTGGCCGGTACCCAGCGGCAGTCAGCAGCAGCCAACAGCAGCCTGCAGCAGCCAGTAGCGATCAGCCTTAAAACACATCAGCCGCTTAAGCCTACCGCAGCCCCACCAATCGAGGCTCACCGTAAACACACAGGCTGACTTCGGCACCGTAGTGGTGAAACACACAGGCTGACTTCGGCACCATAGTAACTAGTCACACCCTCAGCACGACAGCCTACAGGATGCAGACGGACGGTACGGCCAGCGGATGGCAACGAAACAGCGAAGCGTGGCGACACCGCACAGCTAACACCTTTGTCTGTAAAGGACCTCCTGCGCGGTAAGCAGAACACAGGCAACAAGGCAATGGCGGGGCACACGCGAGGGCGTCTACACATCCAGCACAGGGCAGAGCTGCGCATGACCATCGGCGATGCAGCAGAGACAGAGGACCCGGGGAGTCGAGAAAGGAGGCTCCAGGCTCACAGACATGGCGTGATTTTTCGAGCCGTAGGCACAGAGTGCAAGAATTCCGAGGAGCCCTTGCATCCGTAAAATGAGAGACCATAACCAACCCAAGAAATGCGTAGAGAAAATAGAACAGCAAGGACGACCGGTAAGGATCGAGGTCAGCATGACGACTGCCGCCATCGCAGCGACCATGGTTGTGAACACCACATCACGACGGGAATCTGAGTATACAACATATACAAAAAGAAGGTCTCAAAACTCTCTCTCTCTCTCTCCCTCCCTCTGTATACGCGAGCCTCAACCAACAGTGGAGCAACGCATGGGTCCACAGGAAAGTCTCCAACCCCGTGGATGTCCTCCCGCTATTTGTCCCGACAAAATATGAAACATTGGATGAATCCGTCCGCATATGTGGTTAGATTTGCCTGCCCGTCACTCTTGCGCTAGTCGCTGTCCCCCGGTCCCACAACTTCTGGTTCGATTAGTCTTTCGCCCCTATACCCAAGTCCAATGAAGACTGTTCACATCCTTACTGCTGCGGCCTCCACCACAACCCCTCAAGGCCGCTCTGCCTTTCAGGACCCCAACGGGCATACCCGCATCGCGTCACCCCCACGTCTTGTTGCAGCAGGTTTGCGGGTCGGGGCGCGGCCCGGGTGCCTTGCCTGAAACGCGGGCCCTAGGTGAATCAGCTCTGGTGCAGACCTTGGTGGTAGTAACAATTATTCAAATGAGAACTTTGAAAACCGAGGCGGAAGAAGGTCCCCCTACGACCAGCCTACCGCCTTTGCCCCGGAGTCGTCCCGCACCTCACGCATCCCATTGGCATGCTCACACTCGAACCTCTCACAACGGATCATGGTTGGCGGACGGCGCTCCTGCGGAAGGCCCACGCCACCCGGTTTTCTGCCGGCTAGGGCGCGCAACCAATGTGCCCGACTGTCGTACCGACCACCTGTGTCGACGCAGCAACTGGGCCAGGTCATGTGGTCCCGGCATCGGCCTCAAAGGCGATCACCAGCAAAGACAAGAACTTTAATAATAAAACTAAACTTTAAAAATACAAATGAAACATAGAAACTAAGCAAAACCGGCCTGTCGCCTCACCGGCCTTCGATGCCGCGCACCTCGTCTATCAAGCCGAAGCCTCACCGTTGTCGAGGTCGATCTCCACGCCCGCGCGCGTGTCTCGGTCAGACGTACCAATCAAAATTGCCATATCAATTAATCCTAATTTAATTCAGAAATAAATAAATAAATAAATAGAGTTTGACCGGCGATCATGCCGGCTCTTCAGTCATCAATAAATAAAATCACGCGCGCCTCAAGTCTACGCGCCCACACACTCTCTATTCTAGTCAGCCATCCAGCCAACGTAAACGGCAGACACTGCCGCAACTCGTGCGGTACACTCAAACTTTAAATTAAACTTATTTTCAGTCACTTGCAAAAACCAGGGCGGATGCCCTTGTAAGGGTATTCGCGCCGACAACGCTGCACTGAGTTTGTCAGTTATTTGCACCTTAGAGATCAAATTCGGTGAATCTGTCAGTTGAGGGTGAAGCGCCTCAACGTAAACTACTGGATCACCAAGTTTCAAGAGATTTGATACATGGGAACACGGGGAATCAACAGGAGATGAGACTGGCGAGATAGGGTTGACCAGTCAGCCATCGCCCAAGTTTCACTCATCTTCTTCAGAGTTGACCCTGAAGCCTGAAGTAAGTGTGTTTCTTACTCTACTCTGTGTGGCAATTTTGGGTCTATTTTTCGAATAGTGAAATTTGGTCTGACAGTTAGTAGACAGTTGAAAATCGAAATTCAGACTGTGGGACAGCCATAGCCTACTTCCCCTACCTATCTTCTTTGACTTCTACTAACCCTGTTTGACCTCCTTCCTGAATCACAATTTCATATGTGACTGCTTTACAGTATTGCGATTTATACTGTGTAGTGAATTGGTGAATTCAGGGTCCTGTTGTCAGTGATAATGCAAATTTGAATTCTGTGTTGACATGGCTGAAGCTTGGCTAGACTAGGGTCAGTCATAACTTCAATTTCGTCCGTCAGAATTCAATTATGTCAGTCCCTGGTAAATCGCAATTCAGTATACAGTGTTTAGCTGAAATCGCACATCCAGATTTGATGTTCTGAGTCTGTTACAATGATAATTGTAATTGGCCATACCCAAGGTATGGCATACAGGGTCATACGGTGAAGTCTGCAGGGTAGGTCTAAAAATAGGGTTACCTGTAAATCGCTGCATTTTGGTTATCAGTGGGCACCTATCCATCCCTAATTAGTCACTCTGTCTAACTACTAATCAACGCTAATCAGTCCAAGACTGCATCCTGTCAGTTATTGATGCAAGATTTGCAATTCTTGCGTGCAATTGTTGGTTCAGGGCAGTGATGGGAAAATCGTGAAATGAATTTTTGTTGAGTGTACTCTAAACTGACCCTGACCCTCAAGCGGTCTGCTGAGACTGAGCACTCACTTGCTCAGTCTAACCAACTTCCTCTCTTCAGGCAGGTGATAGCAATCGAGTGAGTACTGGAGAGAAAACTCAATTCCTAGTACCTCCTGTTTATCTTATGTTAATTGTTTTTATTTTTATTTATCTGAATTGTGGAGATGGCAGAGGCTGAGAAGGGAGAGGCTTCTGATGTGAAGCCTCAAACTCCACTTGACCCTTACGAGGCTGAACTGCAGGCCCAGGAGGACAAACTCCACCAGCAGGCCCTGGCAGTTGAGTCCCTAAAGGTTGAGCTGAAAAAGAAAGAAGAAGCAGCTCAGAAGGAGACCAGGAGAAAGTTGCTGATTGCAGATGTGGAGAAGATCGGGACAAGTGGTAGTTCCAGTCAGTGAGGACATGGTTGAATTCATCCTCTTGCAGGATGATATTCACCGTTCTTATTTTACTAACTGAGACGATCGTATTATCAGTCTGGAGAGCAGCCACTCAACTTTTTCTAAAAAGTTGGAAGTTGGATGACATCTCTGCCAAACTGGATCAGATCTTTACTCATTTGAAGATCCCTACCACCTTGACCTTGCCTCCATCCCCTAGGCCTTCTCAAGTTGGCCATCAACAACTCCCACAATCCAGACCCACATCCCCATCTTCTACACCCAAGTCAACAGCCGCTTCAAACCCTCAGTTTCATTTGATCAGCAGCGGCTCAAGCTGACCCCTCCACCCATGTTCTCTGGCGAGGACCCTAAGGTGGATGTTGCAGATTGGGTCACTGCACAAAGAACCTACCTGAGTGGGTTCAAATGTGACGAGGATGATAAAGTGTCAACCATCCTTGCTCGTTTGGAGAGGACTACACTAAAATGGTGCACCTCTACCTCCAGCAAGCAAGGTATGGAGATGTCTGATTGGGCGCAGAGGTTGGGGGTGGCTGGATTTCTGCAGGCACTGCAGGACCGGTTTGCAGACAAGGAGCAGGCCAGAAAAGCAGCAGACAAAATTCTGCGCCCGGGCCAGAAAAAGTTTGATGGCTCCTTGTCCAAATTGTACTCCACCTTTGAGAGTCTGACATCGACTCCTAGGTTGGAGATGAGTGAGCAGGATCTGCTCATTCATTTCCTTAGGGCAGCGCCCTGCCTTATTCTCTCAGGGCCATCAGGACTGGCAGTCCTTTGGCAGAGCAGCTCTGGACTTGAAGTCCAAAATCCATGTCCAGGAAGCACCTTCTGAAGGAAGGGACCCTCCTCAAAGGGGCGAAGGAGGAGGAAGTGTGCCCTGTTTGCTGCTGCAGCCTCCAGTTCAGATGATGATGCTACATCCCAGGGTGGGACCCCTCTATCTGGGACTGCTTCCTCGTCTGCTGCAGATTCTGTTGTTCTTGCCCTGGTTGATGCTTTGATGGGCCTGACTAATGGCAAGGCCCCAACCCAAAAAGCACCAACCAGCAGCAAGGGGAAAGGTAAGGGACGTGCCTCTTCCCTTGGTGCCCAGAGAGTACCTCTACCACGAGACGTCCGTTGGCTAGCTGACCCCCTTGATCCTTCCACCTTCCCTAGCATGAACTCAGGATCTAGGAGGGAGTATGGAGGAAGAGGAAGGACAAGGGTGTCTGCCTGAGATGCGAGGGGGACCACTATCTGAAGGATTGTCCCCATATGCCTCACAGGCCTCCAGGCTCGAACTAGAGAGGAGAGAGGTGGAGTTTGCAACTCCCTCCACCTGTGCTGATTCATCGTCTGATGAAGTTGAATCTTCACCCTCTCTAGCTGGTTCATTTAGGAGTTGCAGCATCAGGGTCCTTCACGTATGAGGACATTAATTTGTAGCAGATCTAGGGATGGCACTAGTAAGGGTCGCAGCCCCTTTTACTTGTGTCGGAACTTCGCCGAGGAGATGTTTCCTACTTCCCTGGACAAGTGTATTTGTGTTGCGCTGTCAGAACTTGCTGATGCAAATTCTGGCCATACTCAACGTCCTTACTAGTGTTAGCTGCTGATTTGGCAAGTTTCCCTCGTCTTGATGCTGAGTGGTGTGAACCATATCTCCAGGCTTTCAACATCGTGGCCCTGACTCCTTGTCTGTTAGACAAGTTGAGTCCTAACATGACAGTCTGGGTGTTTATGTCTTTATACTCCACCGTGTTGAGGTTGCTTGTTTTGCCCGCGATCTCTTATTGCAGTCCTTCAGTCTAGAATGATAGTTGTAGTTGAGAGCTATGGGCTCCACTATATCACTCTACCGATCCATTGCACTTGGTTCCATGTCTACTAGGGGTAAATACCCGGACCGACGACTATAGCTCAATGTCTAAGTATAGTCGGGTGCCAAGTCTTACTGTGGTCTTTTGACGCAATCGAGACCAACTGACACTCTGAGTTCTCCTTCTCCTGACATCACTGTTTATAGTGTTGGTCATGAGTATAGGAAACCGTATTGCAACAATAGGGCGTTGCCTTCGGTACCTCAACTTTTTAGAAGTGGTCGATTGTGCGACAATCAAGGACCAGGTCCTACCGTGGTTTCTTGATGCAGTCGAGACCAACTGACACTTTGAGGTTACCTCCTCCTGACCTTGCTATTTGCAGCAGTTACCAGGGCCGTAGGTTACCCCGCGAGTCTCTCGAGTTCTCCTCTTCAGGCAAGAGCTCTATCTCTACACCCACTTTGTCTGCTGGTTCATTACCAGGAAATGAAATATGGGCACAAAGGTCCGCTCTCCCCAGGGGGGCAAGTATGTAATGAAGCCTGCAGATTCTCAGTGGACTGTACATTGGGCCGAGGGCGAAGTTCGGGGCTTGCCTCGGTCGGGTCGCGTCTTAGGTTAGATTTGTAATTTTGTTTGGTTGAGGGCTAACCGAGAGACCTACCTGTAGGGGAAATTCGTGAGGGACATATCTGCAAATTTGGAAAAATATAGGCCCAACACTAACTGAATTTCCTACTGCTACCCTAACTACGAATAGCAGGCCCGGGCTACCCCTAGGACAGACAGGCCCTAAAGGCCTATGTTGATAGACGGTCCTATAGCCTATAGCCGAGTAAGGTAGAGGCCCTAGAGGCCGAAACAGAAACGGTACTGGTCGGTCAGTCAGTCCGGTCTAGGTCGAGTCTAGGCTAGTTTAGTCTATAGATAGGATGGGCACATCGGTTCAGGGCTTTTGGCAGTTGGTACCGAGTACATCGTGGCTGCGCTACGCGTGAACCGGAAGTGGTGACGGATCAGCGTTGTGGAAGACAGACATAGCCAGACCTTCGGAGCACCGGCCATAGCTAGGACCTGTGCTGTACTCTGTCAGCACGCGGGGCTGTGTAGAGGTCTGGGCTATTCGAGGTCTGCTGGAGGCGAGAGAAGTTGGTGCCCTGCTGGACCCTCCTCCGGAGTGGGGTTCCAGGGTTGTGGCGCTGGAGCCATAGCTGCAACATCTTCCGCAGAGATCATCTTGTCAAGAGTGGTGGCGCTGTTGCAGACTTTCATCCGGGAAGTCTTCCGACACTTCCTCATCATCAGATACTGTGGCGCTGGTCTTCTTCTTCATCCTCTGAGTGGCGCTTAGCCTCAGAGGCCTGTCTCAAGGTGGCGCTTACCTTTGGAGGCTGTATCGGGGCGGCGCTTGATGTTTCAGGGACTCAGGGGTAGTGATAGCGGTTCATCAGGGTTGGAGAGTGAAGCGCTGCTCATCTCTGAGCACCGCATCATAGTTCTGAAGCTATTTTGACAATTCGAGACTCTGAGTATAATAAACAATGTTCATACTGGGTTCAGACTATCATCGCTTCTGTTTCTTGGATGTGATCTACTCGGCTTTCCTTTATGACTGGTTGTGAGGATGGAGTGGAGTGAATTGCAATTTCAGTGTACCCTGTCATATCGCATGGTCAAGTCTTCCGCTATGTTTATCTCTCCCTGTGCGGTGTGATACTCCTATCCTCTCCCCTTCCTTTTGTGTATGTATGGGCATACCTGGGAGTCTATGTGAGCGAGTGTTGGTCTTCAGACAACAGACAACGAGAATCATAACACGTTGGCCCGCAAGTCCCGGTACTTCCATACTGAGGCAGGAGAGCAAGGGGCGTCAGTGTCAGCTGCCCGAGGGAATAGAAGATTGGCGAAAATGCGACCTTTCTGGCCACTGTGGAGTCCTAGTTGAAAATAAAGAGAATTATTTAGGGTGTCACTCCAATCGCCAGATGCTACAAGTGTTGTAGGCAAATTCGATGTCGGAACAACGATTTCGTTAAAACAAACATTTTATATTTTTTTAACGAAATTGAATTCCACTTATTTGACCCTGGAAATGTCACATTTTTAGCTCCTTAGGGTCCCCCTAGATGTACCTGAACTTCAGTTGAGTTCAAATGGACCCTCAAGAAATAAATGGTGATATCTTATGGGCCAAATAAACAGGTTTCAATTTCGTTCAAAAAATATAAAATGTCCGTTTTAACAAAATCGTTGTTTCGGGGAGGCGGTTAACCCAATCCTTCTGGTCCGGACTGATGAGTGTACGAAGCATCATTTGAGCGGTTTGATATGCCCTCTCCATTTACCCGTCCGTTTGTGGGTGTCGAGCCAAACTTGGTTTCATCTCAGTGCCGGACTCCTTCATGAGAGAGGTCCAAAAGGCCAACATGAATCAAGCGTCACGATCGCTAACAATGTCTTCTGGGATGCTGTGGCCGCAAATCCAGCCGGTGTGCAAGAGTCTTGTGAGCTCAGGGGTCGTTGCATGATACTTGCAAGGAAGAAGATGCGCGTACTTACTTAGTTGGTCAACAGCTGTGAGGACACTGTTGTGCCCAAGGCGATCTCATGGAAATGGTCCAGTGACGTCCATAGCAATAGACAATCCGGATTCCCAAGGAATCGGCAACGGGCGCAACTCATTGAGGAGTTGCGGTTGCAAGGCTTGTTGCGTCGACAAACCTCGCAAGACTCGCAATGTTGTGTGACGTCGGACCATCAGAAGCGTTGGCAAAGTTGAGTGACCGTCCGGTTGACTCCGAAGTGTCTAACGAGCAGCAAATTGTGGTACTCACCAAGGAGGCGACTCAGTAATTGACGGTGGGACGCATAGCAAATCCTTGCCTCGGGAATGGAGAAGCAAATACCTGTCGATGATGCGGTAGTGGCTAGCCGGCGGGTGGTCCGAAGAAAGCTGCTCGTGGAGAGTGGCGTAGTCCGGATCTGTCTTGTATATGCGTACGAAATGTTGATGTAGGTCTTCGTCAAAGTTGAAGGCGTGGTGTATCAATGCGGAAAGATCAACTCTTCGCGAAAGAGCATCCGCCGCTCGATTGGAGAGACCCGAGATGTGCTTTGGCATGAAGTCGGACTGGTCCATGAAGTACATCCATCTCCCAATCGTGTTACTCACTGTATCTTG